CACATAATTTGAGTAAGGTGGCAGGGTTGCAGAATGTCAGTAATGTCTGATATTTGTATTCGGTTCTTTCTTTTTTTCTTTTTTTTTTTTTTTTTTTGGTACCCGGGATCGAACTCAAGTCCTTGCACTTGCACAGCAGGCGGCGAAACCACTGAGCTAAATCCCCGGCCCTGAATTCGGTTCTTTAAATTTTGAGAGTATCTCATTTTTTGTAATTTTTGAGGGTTGTAACCTCTCATTAGATCTCTGTTACATTCTAGGAAAGTTTATCTTATTAGGTTTCTAAATTAGTGAGGATTTATTAGATTTCTAAATTAGTGAGGATTTGCCTGGTGTGGTGGCACATGCCTGTAATCAATCCCAGCACTGGGGAGGTTGAGGCAGAAGGATCTCTGCTAGTTCAAGACCAGACAGCTACACAGTAAGACTTTGTCTCAAAAACAAAACAAAACAAGATAAAAATAAATGAATAAATTAGGGAGGACAGATTAAAACTGTGGCACATTAGTTGGATCTAGTTCAAATGGAAATTAGTATAAATTAATGCTTTTGGTAAATTATTTATCAAGTGGAGAAGCACTTCCTTTTTGGTTGCTTTTGTCAGGAGTAGTTTTTTCATCTCATTCAGAAGATTTGAGCCAGAGGAAAGAAAGGTAACATTTATCTTTGTTTTGCAGAGAAGAATGTGTGTATATCAAAGTAAAGAGTTTTAGAGGAGGACTGTAAACTACTGGAAATCTTATATACAATTATACATTTTATGAAGAAGAGAATCTATACTATTATGAGATTCCCAGAGAACAGTGTTTCATACAAGCTTCAGAACTACTTCAAGAATTTTGTTTTGTTTTCTGAGACAAGGTCCTTATGTAGTTCAGGCTGGCCTTGAACTCCCTATGTAGCCCAGGATAGCCTTGAACTCGTCGATCATCCTGCCTCAGCCTCAAGTGCTAGGATTACCGGAGTACATCACCATGTCCTGCTTACTTCAAGAATTTTTGGCATCTTTTGTTTTGTTTAATTCTTAAGTTCTTTTATTGGTACATTTTAGGTATATAGTACATTTACATTTATCATTGGGTGTTTGTACCTGAACATGATGTATCTTAGTTCGTATTTTTTCCCCATTACCT